CACAGTTAACAAACCACAATATGCTTGTCTAAGCCAAAGCAAACCATAAATGGCTTTGAGTAATGGCCTGGTTCACAGACCATGCTAAAACACAGCATTGTATGATGTTGGTTTAGCAATTACAGATTATCGTTCACAGATGGTGATTTAGTATGTTGTACCAATACACCTGTTATTTATTTATTTATTTATTTATTTATTTATTTATTTATTTATTTATTTATTTATTTATTAACATATTTCTACTGTAGCAGAATTTTAAAAAAAATGTTGGTGGCTCTCATAGAATAAATAATACAGGTAAAATATTGACGGTACCAGCTAAAAGCCAGAAATAAATAGGGAATAATAATAATAGGCACCTTAACTTTTACATTTATGTTAACAAAGTGAAATAATAGGACAGGGTCAGTTCCTGTTGCACTCATACTGTACTCACCTAACAAACTGAGCTGAAGCCCATCAAGTTAGTGTTATGTGCTGTATCAACTCTGCCATTATGGTTAGTTTTCAGTGCTGTGCAACCCAGTACAAACATAAAGCTAATCCATGAATATGCGTTTTCAAAAAAGTACATTCTTTCTGAAGTGCTTGAAAACAGTAACAGCAGCATGATGTGGTAGAAGGTGAATAACTTAATGATTACAAATAAAAACAAATATATGCAGCTTGAGGTTGAACTCTGGAATCCCTGATGCTCTCTGAGCATGGTAGCTTTCTTGCAGATGTTTCATTACCCAGCTAGGTAATGTCTTCACTGTAATGGTTGCAATTTATTTTAAAAGCATGGAAAGTTTTATGAATGTGAACAATATAGATAACTCACTTCGTTCACTAACAGTGTCAGCTAGCATTCTCTTCCATTTACATTAAGAGTCTTAGCGAGTAAGTCTCTTTTCTATATCACATAGGAAGAGAAAGGGAAAAATAAGCAAAAAACCTAAACAAATCACGGACTGGATTAGCATGATGAGTGAATTCAGTAAACTGTAGTTTGCTGCTATGACTGAATTTGCAATCTACTCCCAGGAATTTTATGCTATGGAGAAATGGAGTTGCCAAGCTAAAGGCTAGGCAAAGAGAGAAGTGGTTCAAAAGCATGATTGGCCACCCAAAATAGGAAGTTGTCCTCTGCTGGGGGTTTTCAAACAAAGGTTGGATGGTCATCTTTCAGGGATGCTGCTGGGGATCCTGTGCTGGGCCAAGGGTTGGACCAAACAGTCTCTTAAGGTCCCTTCCAAGTGTGTGATTTGCATGTTGTACATTTTAGAGGCTCTCGTTGTATTGCATGTTCTTCAGAGGACTTACTGCCTTCTACTGTATTTGAGATGATGCCACCTGCCTTTGGCTTGGTTTTACCTGTTTCTTGGAGGCAAATGGAACTGCAAATGTGTTAAAAATATTGCCCTGTCCACAACCAACTGTACCCAACATATCATATTTGAAACAGAGGTATTCTGAGGAAGAGAGATCCCCAAGTTTGAGGAAAGATTTTGCCTTTCTATATCCTCTGTGCTACCCAAATTAAGTTTACAGTTTGGACAATATTTGCATGAGATCAATATCAAATTGCAATAGGCCTCTTCCCCTATTCGGCCTGGTGATCCTGTGATTTCCTGTTGGTGATGACACCAACCAGGGTGGCTTTCTTCAGAATCATGGTGTATAAACATTAAATCACTTCGGTCACATTTCTGGGAAGGAAGTTATAGGAAGACTGCAGGCCCGTTCAATAAGTATTTCCATATAACGATTTTACTCTGGTGGTTTTCAGTTTTCTCTTTTAGAAGACTGAAAAGAAGGAACATTTTGTCTTTATCTCAGACAGAATGTTGAGAGTTCTGAAGTCATTAACACAGGCCACAAACCCCTCCATGAACTTTTATTGTGAAGCAGGAGAACAAGTTGGATTGGGGACTGTTTTTTCTTTTTGCGTGATCACTGAGCAAACTCCCAATTTTCCTATAACCTCCTAGCACATTATTACTTTATACCTCTCAGAATGGTAAAATGCAGTCCATTTTCCCTTAAGCCCTTTCCCTTAAAGCTGAAAGATACAGAAGTTATATAGACTCCAGTCCTGGTTCATAGATTTGCTCAAAATCTATGAATCTCTGAGAATCAGATGCTCTGCATAGGCAAAAAGGTCATGGATCTCTTTGGGGGGAGGGGGCAGGATTTGAATACTGTATATATACAGGTTTGGATGATGGACCATTATTAAGACAGGAATTGCTTCAGAATGAGATACTGGGATTCAGTGCTTTTTCAGGAGTGGTTTGGGAACTGCTGGAGATCCATAAGGGAAATATAGGTGGTCCCTGGTGCGGCACAAAATAATTTTAAAAAATGGACCAGGTTTTGGCCATTGGTTTTGCTCAAAATCTCACAAGGTTACACAATAAACCTTTAGTAATAATTTTAAAGTTGGGCTCCTACGGAGTCAACTGAGAAAGAGACTCACATTTGCTAAGTTCTGATCCCTTATTCATGTGGTGATCCTCAGATGCCTTTGGGCATGATCATGGTCTGTATAAAGGAAAAGACTGAGAATGCCTGACCTTATTCAAATTTGCTAAACTAGAATCCTCAGCCATTTTGCTCTCCAGTCATGTTGAGATTTACATCTCTTAGAAACTCAACCAGGATGAGATCTACAGTCTCAACCAGAGGCAAAGATACCATTGAATGGTTGGCCAAATCAGTGTAAAGTTTGTGGCAGTACCTGGCCTGGAAAAGTTGCCAGTGGCTCAAGGTCAATATGTACTTCCCCACCAATTCTGCAGATCGGGGCTCAAAACATACTTTCCCAAACACAAGCCATTCCCCCGCATCTGACTTGTTTTACCAACAGGTCCTTGCAATCAATTAGTTTCCAAACGTTCTCAGAATGGGTGGCTATGGCAGTGCAGACATGCTCATTTATACTGAAACAAATGCAGTTGGATTTAATTGGATTTACACATGTTGCCTTTAAAAACCATCTGCTTATATTATCTGTGTTAAGGAATAAAAGGGTAGTAGGAGGTTTCATAAGAAAGATTTTAGCTTTTTCCAGTCTTCATATTGAAATAATCAACAGTGGAATATTCATAATAGCACCCTTGAACGACAGCATAATTTTTGACCTCCATGACTGGGGACTTACAAATCTAAATGGAGCCTTCAACACACATACACCCCTTCCAGGTGTGTGTGTGTGTGTGTGTGTGTGTGTGTGTGTAATCACTTCTTTCTTCTTTCAAAGGTTTTTAAAGTTGCATAAAATATTTATTGATTTATCCTACCATTTATTCATTATGCTTACATACAGTATGTATATAATATAGAGCCAAGGTGATGAAATAGTTAATACAGGTAGTCCTCAATTTACAACTATTTGTTCAGTGACCATTCAAAGTTACAACAGCACTGAAAAAGTGCTTTGTGATCATTTTTCACACGTACAACCAATGCAGCATCTCCATGGTCATGTGATCAAAATTCGGGTGCTTGGCAACTGGCATGTATTTATGACGGGTTGCAGTGTCCCAGGGTTATATGATCTCCTTTTGCAACCTTCTGATAGGCAAAGTCAATGGGGAAGCCAGATTCACTTAACAACCACGTTACTAGCATAACAATCGCATTGATTCACTTAACAACTATGGTAAAAAAGTCATAAAATGGGGCAAAGGTCACTTAACAAATGTCTTACTTAGCAATGGAAATTTTGGGGCTCCATTGTGGTCGTAAGTTGAGGATCACCTGTGTGTTGGACTAGAGCAGGGGTAGGCAACCTTGGCTCTTTTATAACTCATGGACTTCAACTCTCAGAATTCCTTAGCCAGCCATGCTGGCTCAGGAATTCTGGGGCTGACGTCCACGAGTCATAAAAGAGCCAAGGTTGCCTACTACCCCTGGACTAGGGCTAGAGAAACTCAAATTCAAGTCTTCTGTCAATTATGGAAGCCGGTGGGTGACCTTGAACTGGTTATTGTCTCTCAACTCAATCACAACCTCCATAGGGTGATTATTAAAGAGGAAAAATGGAGAACTGCATCTATTGCCCTGAGCTTCTAGAGAAAGTTTATTTATATCTTACAAATAAATATTCTCTGTGTACATAAAGTTTCTAGATATTTGTGTGTGTATGCATGTGTATGCTTCCATGCTCATATCTGTCTCTCAATCCATCAGTGCTCCAGCATTCAAGCACTAAGTGTGAAAACTACTTCATAGGTTTAGGGAACTGTTTTCCTTCTCTCTGAAAATAATGAAAGTGAAGAGGTGAAGGGGAGAGTAACTTGACTATTCTAAAAACATTCCATGTCTTCATTTGAAGATTCCTATTTTTAGAGTTCTGGATGCCTTTCTAAAAGGCTATAGATTACACTGGCTTTTCCTACAGGGACAATTTACGTTAAAGTACTTGGCATTTCAGACTGCACCACTGGAAAAACCTGTAATATTGCATGTAAGAAGGGACAGAAGTCCCATCAATCAATCCCTGCTGCTGCTTTTTCTATTTTAACCGTGCCATTTAGCGTCAGACTGGGACTCAAGCAAAAACAGGGATTTTCACCTTGAATTGTGACTTTAAGAAACCACTCACATTTAAAGCCAAGGGAAAAAAAATAATAGAGAAGGGGGAGAAAGCCTTAGCAACCAGGTTCCAGGGTCTAACAAAGAGAGATGTTCTTCTTTTACCTGCAGAATGCTTTTTTCCCCCTCGTAGAAAAACATTTATAGCTCAGTTGAATTTAAATAGGGAAGAAGAAAAAACAGAGAGGCTGGCTTGGAAGTCTGAAGGCTTGGCTTCTGCTTATAAATCTAGTTCTGGTCTGTGTGGGGCCTTCTCTAAAAGGAAAAAAAACACCTTTCTCCCTCTCTAAGCATCTATGTAATGGAAGGCTGTTAGTCTCTCATTAAAAGAAAAACTCCAAAACACTGGCTCTTGATGCAGCTGAATACTTACAAACTAAACCTAATATTATAATTGTTTCTTTTCTCATGTCTAGTGATGGGATTCCTCCTTACAGAATCGGGAGCAAGAAGCAGCTCCAGAGGGAAATGCATCGTAGCGTCAAGGCCAATGGGCAAGTTTCTCTACCTCACTTTCCAGTAAGTATTTTTGGGGTTGACGAAGAATTTTAAAAGCAGGCTTGTATTTGGTCCATAGATGAATTAATTCAAAGGCTGCTTAGGATGTTGATGGATAGTTTTTAATGCCTCGACTTACAACCATTTGTTTAGCGGACCATTTGAAGTTACATCGGTAATGAAAAAAGTGATTTAAGATCCTCATGCTTACGACTATCACCGTCACGTGGTCAAAATTTGGGACACTTGGCAACTGCCCATGTATTTACAACAGTGTTGCAGCGTGCCAGGGTCACGCGAATGCTTATTTGCGACCTTCCCAGTCAGCTTCCAACAAGAGAAATCAATGGGGGATTCACTTAACAGCCATGTGATTCACTTAACAACGGCAGCTAAGCAACCACGGCAACAAAGGTCATGAAATCAGGCACAACTCACTTAAAAGCTGCAATGTTTGGCAATGGAAATTCTGGTCCCAACTGCGGTCGTAAGCCGAGGACTACCCGTAATACCATTTTTAAATCTGTTTGTATTAGGTTTTATCTGACCCATAGTCCTCCAAAAGGGAGGTAGGCTATAAATATTGTAGAATAAAGAATGACAGAGATTGTGATTCACTGTTTGTAAGGAAAACAGGAAAGACAATTTCCTAAAGTGATAAAATAGTTAGCATTCTTTTCCTCTTCCCACCGGTTTTATTAATGTTGCTGAGATAATTTGGATTTGTTTGATTTGCCACAGAGAAGTTTTGCTCTTGAGGATGTTGGCCCAAGTGCTACTTAAAGTATACCAAATCTAGGAATTTGCTCTGTGCTAGGCCAGCCTTTTGGGCACCGAGCCCCGATGGGGGGGGTTTGACAATTCCGTCCTGTACCCCTTTCTGAGGACTGCTTTTCTTCTCTGCGGTTTGAGAAGGTGGGATAAAGAGAAATTAGGGCAACTCTTAGAGAGAAAGAACTAACAGATCTGTAATACGGGCAGTGGGGGGATTCAAAGTGGATGTCGCTTCCGGAAGTCCATTCTGGGCCTGGGCAACAAAAAATTAGCTACCAGATCTGCTGAACTGGTGCGAACTGGCTAAATCCCACCACTGAATACGGATAGTCCTCAACTTAATGACCACAACTGAGCCCAAAATTTCCATTGCTAAGCAAGACAATTAAGTGAGTTTTTTGCCCTATTTTGTGACTTTTCTTGCCACAGTTGCTAAATGAGTCGGTGCAGTTGTTATGTTAGTAACATGGTTGTTGATTGAATCTGGCTCCCCCATTGACTTTGCTTGTCAGAAGGTCGCAAAAGTTGATCACGTGACCCTGCAGGACACTGCAATTGTCATAAATACATGCCTGTTGTCAAGCATCTGAATTTTGATCATGTGACCACAGGAATGCCACAACAGTTGTGTGAAAAACAGGCGTAAGTTACATTTTTCACTGCCGTTGTGACTTTGAACGGTCACTAAACAAATGGTTCTAAGTCAAGGACTACCTGTACTCTGTGTAAGTGGACTTCCATGGAATTCATATAACATAAGAATTCTTTAAAAAAAGAGAGAGAGAGAGAGAGTTATACTGTATACTTTCCAAAGAGATTCCCAGTTGGTTTAGAAATTCTTCCTGGTATTTGGAGCTGAAAATTTTCCTTTCCACTTTTCCCCTTCCCTCTTTTTAGAGATATGGAGAGCAACTGCAGGGGAGGTTTAGAATCTGCCCGAAGATGAGATCAATGAAAACATGACTTGGATTCCTGACCCAGCTTGGGAGTTTCTGGAAGCATCTGGCTAGCAGCTATTAGCAGAGAAATGTTGGTCTGATTGTTGGCTGAATCCGCCAGATGGCTTAGAGTAGACGATATGTTCCAAGATTCCTAGCTAAAGGCTGGCCTGGATGATCCCTTTCCTGAAGGCTCTGTGTCTGACATGAGACTAGCTTGTGTGTGTGTGTCAGTCATGGATAGATGATTGGTAGAACTGGGCTTGTTTTATCCTGCTAATTTGCTGCTGCAGGACTGTTCTAAAATGCCTGCTTCCTCCCTCTGTTAAACAATGTGATAGATCGGCTTGAGGGTGGTAAGAGAAAGAGGGGGGAAAAAAATCCTCTTGAATCTCACTGTGAACTTCCACAGCTGCTTTATTTTATTTTAGGGGTTTTTTTTAATGCTTTTCATTTGTTGTTCTGCTTCGGGATGTCAAAGAGTGAGAAACGCACCAGGAGGAATTATGTTCTCATTGAAGTCACTGAGCGTTCTGCTATTTGTTTAAGCAGAGCCAGGATTTCTCCCCCCTATTAGCAACTGTTAGGCAGGAAATAGATTTTCCAGGTCCTTCAAAGGAAAAACGATATTTGTACCAAAAAGTCTCCCCTCACCTCCCATTCTGCCCCCATCCTAGATCTTCTTGCTTGTTGGCTTCCATGCAAGCAGTTAATCTAATAGTACTTGTTTGGAAATTTGAGCTCTTTTCTCATCTAAAGTATAGAGGATTTTAGGGTGATATGCTGTAATTCTTGTGGTGCAGCTTTCTTTAGCATAGTGTCTTCTAAATATGTTGGCCTAGAACGCCATCATCAATCATCTCCAGCCAATATGGCAAATTGGCTGCAGCTCCCATTATCCCCAGTCAATGCATGAAATTGAGAGATGTGGGCTAGGGGAGCCCACGTAATTGGAGGACACCAAGTTGAAGGTGTCAATTGGAGTGAATAATGTTCAGCTTGGTGTAGGTTGTTACATAGACAAGTACAAACTGGAGGCTTTTAAGAAGAGACTGGACAGCCATTTGTCTGAAACAGTATAGGGTCACCTGCTAGAGCAGGGGGATGGACTAGAAGATTTCCAAGGTCCCTTCCAACTCTTGATGAAGTTCTATGTTCTAAACTTATCTTGTGATTAACGTAAGCAAATTCAACTTCCTGTTCTCTTAAGGGATGAGTGAAATATGTCTCTGAGATGGATGGCTCCAAAGATGGATGGATCTTTGGTGCTCTCTGAGCTTGGTTTTTTTTTTTTTTTTGCAGATGTTTCATTAGCCAAACTAGGTAATATCATCAGTGCTAGTCTATGGCACTAACACTGATGCTGTTAGCTAGTGGGGTAATGAAACGTCTGCAAGAAAACAACCAAGCTCAGAGAGCACCAAGGACCTCCACTTCAACCCTGAGCTACAAATATTTTCCTTTATTGGTATCTAGGGTCTGCATGTCCCCATGTATTTATTTATTGGTATGTTTATTGTATTTTCTTCTGCTTCTACCATTAAAAAAAGTTCTCTATAGCTTCTGCTTGCAAATTAGATTATTTTGTCCTGGGGCGTGCAAATCGACTTTCTCTGTAAGGCAGTGCTTTGATCAGGGAGCTGAATAGAGCCAGCTTGTGTAAGAGTGACAATTTCCTGCAGAGTTGCCTTTTTCTTCCCTCGCATCATTTCTGAAGCTAAGTGGTTACCAGAGAGAGAGGCCCTACCTCACCTCATGGGCAGCCTGTGAAAGCCTTGGCAGTTCAGCTCCCCCCCCTTTTTAAAAAATAACTAAAAAAAAACACACAAAAATGCCCCAAACAAAAAAAGTATTGTGTGTATGTTTGTGTATCCAGAACTGGAGGGCGAAGAAGGCAAGAAATGGGGGAGATGGTGGGGAGATGAGAGGAGAATAGGGATGGGGTGGGAGGGGGCCTTTCCCCCTCCCTTCCTTGCTTCTTTCGGCAGAGATTTTTGCTTGCCTTTTCATATTCCAGCCTTGATTTGGAGGTGCTGCGTTTTCCCTTGATAGATCTGCTGGAGGCAGCCAGGCGCAGCAGTGTAGCGCCGTTTGCCCGTAGCAGCTTCCTTCATTTTCTGTACAAAGAGATGGAGGGCAGGGAGGGGGGAGAAGAACAGAGGGAGAGAGAGGGAGAAAGATCCAGGACACTGTTGAGACAACACTACCTCAAAGGTGCCCAGTGTGTAGCCAGGAAATAAATTACCAGCCCTTCTCTGATCTGCCACCATTTGACTCCTTTTCTTTCCCTCCCTCCCTCCCTCCCTCCTCCGCTCCCTTCCCTTTTTCTCCCCGTCTTATTTTTATTTTAATTTCCAACTCCTTTCTGTTTATACTCCACTTTTATTCCTTGAGTTAAAGTCTCTCTCCCCCTCCTGCCTCTGAGTTTTCCATTTGATGTTTGACAACAGTCTTTGAAGATTTTCTACTTCAGAGTAGCTACTGATGGGCTGGTTGTACTACAGAGAGAACAAGCAGGGTTCCTCGGAGTGCGACCAACTGCTCCTGCCGAAGGCAAGCGCTATTGGGGAAGATGTCACTCCATGAGGCCACAGCACTTGCTCATAAAAATCCAAAGCAGACCATGCCTAGTTGCGGTCGTCTTTTCATCCAAACATGGAGACACAACAAGCTGAACGGAGCCAGCCAGCCTGCTCCTCGAGCTGAGCTGCTTTTGCTCGCGCTGCCTGTTAAACTTGGCTTATTGTCTCTGTCCCGGCTCTGTGCAGAGAACCCACCGGCTCCCCAAGGAAATGACCCCTGTGGAACCCGCCACCTTCGCTGCCGAGCTCATCTCTCGGTTGGAAAAGCTCAAGCGAGAACAAGAGACCATGGATTGCTTGGAAGAGAGGCTGCAGCAAATCACAGAGGTAGGGATCTGACACCCCACCCCCCCTTTGCATGGGTTCCTGCTTGGTGGCTCCCCCTTTGCTGAAGGGGTGGGCGAGAGGACGGGCGGGAAGAAGAAGGCATGAGAGAGGGAGAGGGGGAGAGAGACAGAGAGAATGAATCTTGGCTCAGGTCATCCTTCCGTGAAGAAGGAGGGCCAGGTGTGGAGACGCATTACAGTCACACAAGCTGGTGAAACCAGAGCAAAACCGCTGTGTCTGTTTGCTGCCAGCTGAAGTCTCTTGGGGGCATGCATGCTGGTGCCTGAAATTGTGTTAGCATCTATATGTCTAGGCACTGACCCCAGATGCCTGCCGCGGGGCAGGAATGCATAATGTCTGAAGAGCTTACGGGTACTTCTCATTGAGCTCTGCTGATTGAGTCATTGTCCTTCACGTTTTGTCCTGAAGGATGACGAAAAGGAGATCACTGACACGCCAGTCGCTGCCCAGGGCAACCGAGAGCTTGTAGCCCTGCAACATCAGCAGCAACCCCTCACGCTCCTTCCCACCGGCAGCTACGAAGACGATCCTCAGGCCATTCTGGACGACCACCTGTCCCGCGTGCTTAAGACCCCCGGGTGTCAGTCTCCCGGCATGGGGCGGCACAGTCCTCGTGCTCGTTCCCCCGACCGACTCCCGGGGGGCAAGTTCCTGTTAGCCACCCCAGGCAAGACTGCCGTGCCCACGGCTTCTTGTGCTCTTCTCAGCAAAGGATTTGTCACCAAGCAGACCACCAAGCATGTTCACCATCACTACATCCACCACCACACCATCCCCAAAACGAAAGAGCAGATAGAAGCTGAGGCAGCCCAGCGGGTCCAATGCTTGTGTCCCGGGGGCAGTGATTATTATTGCTATCCAAAATGTAGAGGACACACGAAGGGGGCGGATCTTCCTGTCGCTCAGCTGGAGCCATTTGGGTAAGTTTCCTCTTGGGGAAGAGTTCTAATGGCTTGGGGTGGCTGGGATTGGCCCACACCTTGGGAATTGTCCCTGTTTGTCTAACAGCTAAGGGACTGCAGTGGTGCAATAAGGGGAGAGTGGAAATGGGAAAAAGGAAGGAGAAGCTTGTTCAACTGTGGCATGAGGTTTTAGCAGAACTGTTGCTGTGTAATGACTAGCCACAAGAGTCTAAGTGTTGTTCTTCTCTCTCTGATGGAAGCCTCAGCAGAACTGGGACCCTTCCCAAAAGGAACTGTAAGCTCCAGGATGGCCTCGTCCTGCCAGGGGGAGAAGGAGGTGGTCTTCCTGCCCCACCAGGCATACCGCTACCCAGTGGGGAAGCCGATCGCTCCCAGAACGTCTGGCAGTGGATGTTGGAGAGTGAAAGACAATCTAAGCACAAGCCCCATAGGTAAATATCAGCTGTCTGCAACACTCTTGCTCCTGGTAAATATTTATCTATTACACAGCTGTCTATTTTTACAATCACTAAAAACAAATGAAGCTCTTTTGCTCCTCCGGTTTAATATGAAAGCTGTTCCGCGGAACCAGAAAAACCACAAAAATGTCATGTTTTTGGCAAAAAAAAAAATCCCTTTTCATGTTATGACAGACTTTTTTTTCCTCTCTTTTTTTTCTTCTCATCAAGAACGCACTGAACAGAAGCTGCTATGAAAGGCTCATATTTTAGATTTTATAACCTTGCCCCTTTGGTGTCCCTTGTCTTTTTCAGCACGCAAAACACAAAGAAGGCCTACAATTCTGATTCCACCAGAGGTGCATCTGGGGAGCGGCCAGCCCGTCATCACCAGTGGGGCAACAGCAGCCACCCACGGGCTGTGCAGCCTGCCCACCCCTTTGTCCAGGATCCTGCCATGCCTCCACTTACTCCACCCAACACACTGGCCCAGCTGGAGGAAGCTTGCCGCAGGCTAGCTGAGGTGTCCAAGCCACAGAAACAACGGTAACTTCCCACAGATTGGGGTGTCAAAGCAGAAGGGTCCCCCACTGGGCTGCTGCATTGATGTCTGCTAAAAGCAATCCAGTCCCTGTTGAAGAGAGACTAGATTGAATATTCTGGAACAGACCTGTAAAAGCCACAGATTGCCTAACAAAAGCATCTGCAAACAGAATCTTTTCAAATTCTCTATTGTGTTGCTCAGGGCAAAAGTGTAGAGTCAGATTAAATGTTTAACAGTGATCAGCTAGAAAACTGGGAAGTAGGAGATCAGATTCATAAAGCCTCTTTATCCTCAGGAGAGATTTTAATTTGTTTACGGGTGTTTGTGTATTGGTTTGATACTTACAGGGCTTCTAAGCCGCTCCTTTCAAACTGACTCTGAGCAACATACAATTCCCCAAATCTGTATTTTGGTTAAAATAGACAAGTAGGCTAATAAAATTTGGATTGAAAGATAAGGATCCATATTTGGCCCAACCAACCTAAAGCCTTTTCACTTTTACGATATTTTTGAAAGATGAAACAAAAGAGCTGAAACTGGCTTCATTTTATGAGTTTTGGCTTGCTCAAGTTGGCTTTTGGCTTGCTCAAGTTGGTGCCTTGGCTTATTTATTTATTAAATTGATATGTTGCCTATCTCACTATCAAGCGATTCTTAGGGTTTTGGAATAGCCGTCATCTCAGCCTTATCGTTACCTATGAATTGTAATCTCTCTAGTCAAAGCAATTCGAATCTTCCAATTTAACCTTGTTTGTTTGGCTTCCTTAATGAATGCTTCTGAAACAGGAACCGGTTAAGTGGTTGTATTAAAGCTTTGGCCTGTCTTTGGATGATGCTGAGATACTTTAGGCTTTAGTATATGTGATATGTCCGTGCTCACTTCAGCACATGGGCCTTGAGTGCATACATGGGATTTGGAAAAGATTAATGGCCTTCCTGTATCTCTTTCCCCTTCCTCTCTCATTTCCCATCCTTCAGGTGTTCAACTTCAAATCAGTTGAGAGATCGAAACCACTTGGCTTCTGTACCAGGAGGGAATGGCCCTTTCTGCACGGCGAACACAGCATCAGAAGAGTGAGTGCAATATAAACCGTAGAGATCTGCTGGTTCCTTTTTTTTTTCCAAACCCAATTTTATCAGTGAACCATTGCTTTGGAAGTGGAGAAGGAAATTTAGATTCTTTTTTTAAAGGCCTATTTTCACATCTTGGTTCTCTAATTCTCCCCTTCTTTTTGTTTGCATTCCAGTTAAATGGACAAAGATTGGTGGATTAGTCTAATTACAGGATAGTTCTTTTGACAGGGAATCTGCTAGAGTCTAAATAATTAAAGTTTTCTTTCTTAGATGCTGCATCTTAAGCAATGAGTAATGTTTGAAGTCCAAGCTTAGCCACATGACTATCCCTTTTCATTTTTAATTGGCTGACCTTAAGCCAGCTGTCTATGCTAGTGGCTTTTTTTTTTTGCTTCCTGAAACCACTCTACAAAGACTTGGAACAAATTAGGAAGAGAAAATTATGGCAGAGTAGCCTTTGGTGACCTTTAGACGTGCCAAGTCTGGCTTGTCTCAGAGACTGCCTTGTCTCCATGCCACGGAAGACTTATTTCTGCAACAGATTCTGTCTTCTTGAGGTGTGCCCAAGGTGGAACCAGGGCTTGGCTTTCTCCTCCCTTTGACAGTGGTGTCAAAGTATCAAAACAGATGTGGCATGTCTCCGTTTTTGGTTGTGTTTTTTTGCCCAGGTCTGAGATACAAAAACAGTGGCAGCTTTTGATGTGCTGTTCCACACAAGCTAGGGTTTTCTAAATTTAGTTCAGTGTAAAGGAATGCATATATAGAATGTATATGACAAGTCCTTGGCATTGTACTGTAGGTGAATTGGAAGATCTGAAAGGCCAGATTAGGGATAGAATGTTACAGAGAGACTCTATCTTTGCTGTCACTTGGAGCTGAGAATGGCTTGATGGCACATAAATATGTGCAAGTTAGTGTACCTTCAATGTTTAGGACTTTAGGCTTCCCCTGCCCTGTAAAATAGACATTGTGAATTATTGTGGAGGCTCAGATATAAATCCTACGGTGTGAAATGTCCATATGGGCCATCCATTAAACAAAGATCTGCTTTCCTGTTCCATCCTGGAACTTTAGACAATGTTGGTCCTTTCACTTCTTCCCTTTACTGCTATCTTTGTACACACAGACACACACACACACAAACCTGTGGAGAACAGGAGATAAGCAAATCAATGGGGTAAATCTGGGGAATCTATGGGCATCTCTACTTAGTTCCAGGCACTTTGGCGAATGGTCAGAGATGATGAGAATGAAGTACTCTAAACAATCTGAAGATGAATCAATCACATTTTTATAGGCAGTCTGCATGCCATGAGCCCCCAAAAGCTCTAGAAAACAGCTGAACTATATGTAGTTTTCCAAAGGGTATAAGGCTGGGGTATGTTCTATACACAGGGAAGTGAGATATTTAGACCATGGGAATCACCACTAAGGAAGCACATTGTTGAGCCCCCACTTCATGTGGAGGTAGGGACCATTGGCAAGTCAAGTCCTTGCTACAGGAATGCACAGGGGAGATGTCCCTGTAAGTCCCTTGGAATAAAAAACAATCAGCAACCAGTGTGACAATTGCAGCATTGAAGTTATCATGACCATATCGATGGTTAGCAGATAGGCTGCTGGACTTTGGGACAACTGTAGCATCCAAGCCTGAGGTATCTTCAGAGGCAGACCCACACAGAATGTTCTTAGTCAGAGTATCCCAATCCAGATAGGCAAAAGCTTTCTTAGCCATACCTTGCACCTGCAACTTTCCTGGAGGTCCCCCAAATTGTAGATCTCCTCTATTAGGAGAATATAACTCCTTCTGGAGCTGAACTTGTCACTTGGATATAAGGCCAGACCTATCACAGACATAGAGCAATACTGACTTGCAGGGATTTAATTTAAGCTTGTTTTGACTCATCCAGGCCCTCACAATCTATAAGCCCTGGGTCATGATTTCTGCAGGATTTCTGGCTCAGCCTGGGATGGAGATGCTGTATATAATGGTGATATTTCACTCCAGGTGACAGATGATCTCACTAATGGTTACACGTAGCTACTGAATAATTTGGCCACTATAGCAAAGGAAGAAGCAGCACTGCAAAGTATGTTTCCAATCCCTGACTCTTGCATAAAGTCCAAAAGTATACAATGGGCTATCATATTGAAGCTCAATGAGAAATATAATAGGACTCATCTTGGTTTTGAAAAAAATAACTCACTTTTGCAAAGGAGTCATGATTTGTTTGTAATCTATAGTTTGAAATCATGATTTATTATTGTAGAGATTGTTGCTGTGACTAAATATGTGGAGAAAAAAAATTGGTTTGTTTATGGGTTCCTGGCTTATTACTGGATTGTTTTGGGGGTCCACCCATTTATCTAGTCAGTTTGCAGAATTGTAAAACAAGACCAGCTAAAAAAAGGAAAGAAGACAAATCAGAGATTGGTCAAATAAATCATAATTATTTTGTATGTCTAAAGGATTTACTCTGGTTTGTTTGCGGTTATTCAAGCCATGGCTTAAGGAAATCATGATTTAGGATCATGTAAAAATTCACCCAATATTTTCATAAAATTAATATGGAATGCAAAAGTTGTACATGACTGCAGGATCATTGATAAAGTAGAATTTGAAGCCTACAGCCAGCCATATATAACTTAATATATAAAGACAGTTAGAAATAATGAAAAACACAGTAGTTTTATGGGATCTGGCTGCTTGACCAGTCCCAGAAAATCTTCATGAATATCTATTGAGGATTTTTAATAGCAAATTAACACAAGAAAAAAAATAAAATTTTTGAAACTTTCTAGACTGTACTTAGCCAAGACATTTATATGTAACATGATGGGTTTATTTTTTTCTCCGAAGTCTCACTGGAATACTTCCTTTAGGAATATTTATTCTCTGAATCCACATGTAAAAGTTTTGGTGACTGAGAACTGTTGTGCTAGTTGGTTTCAGATATTGTACAATGTTGTTATTTGTTTGGTATTTAATTAGTTCAACTCCAGTCATTGTGGTTTATAATCCTTCTTTCATGGCCTAGCCTGGAGTGGGAACCCAGATCTGTATAAATTAATCGAAAAACTAGATGAAACAAGCCATGGCTTAGTGTGATGTACGAATTCTGTCTCAGAATTTGTCGCTGCTCTTTTAAAGAACCAACTACAACTTTTTTTTCTATCAAGGACCACTTGGTCTTGAGGTAGATCTTAAGCAAACAGTGAATGGTTCTACCAATTCCGTTTCATTGAACGTTTATTGGCTCTTTCTTCAGAACCCTTGTTCCTTTCTCTTTTTGACATCTCTTATTTAACATCCCCATCCTGGCATCCCCAGTGCCAAGGACTGAATTGTTACTTGCAAAGGACTTTTAGGCTATGGATTGTTTGCAACATGAAATTGGTGATCCAAGGATGGGGAAACCAAGTGGAGCATCCAACCAGAAGACTGAACAAATCCATTTGTAAAACAGGGCCATACTTGAAGCCATGCTGGTGTCATTGTATTATTGCAGGGGTAGGCAACCTCGGCTCTTTTATGACTCGTGGATTTCAACTCCCAGAATTCCTGAGCCAGCACACCAGTCCACGAGTCATAAAAGAGCCGAGGTTGCCTACCCCTGTATTATTGTATATCACTTGAACTGCCCCAGAGTTCAGTCCACATAGGGTTTGTCTCATATCTCTCCCTGATGTGGCTGAAAGTTCTTTCTCAGAAAAGTTGCCATAGGGTCTGAGCAATCTGCCCAAATTCATCCAGTAATTGAGGGTTGGGATAATCCTACAGCTGCAGACTTATGTCCCCTTTATCTGGACATGAAGACAATGTAGGATTGCAGACATCATTGCCCTGTTAAGCAAATCCCTTTCCAAAATATTTAGACTTCAAATATGTACAATAACTAAGTTGGCCAGCCTTACTAAGCTGATAATTAAAGAGTGTATATCTCCATTGAAAACTTTGCGCAATGCATGCCTTTGTCTTTGTTTTTTAACCCTTTGCCCACAGTCAAAACTCCCATTTTTTTTTTTTTAATGATCCAGCGGCAATGCTTGTCAATTTAGTGGGCCATGAGTTGGAATCCCCTTCCAAATTGAGGGGCTAGTTAGCAACAAGGGTGGTTGAAATCCACAAGGTCAGACAGCAGGTATGGGGAAAGCTACCTCACATTCTTCAGTATTTAATACACAAATAAGTCTCCAACTTTGCTTTCCTAGATTTTCCAATTACCTGATGTGGTTAGTTGACTCTCTACGAATTTGTGTAATTGTGCCTCTGAGTGTGACTTAAATGTTTTGTAAATGTTGTGAAGCCATACTTATTTCTCTCCTCCCTCCTTTTATGTTTCAGTCACAAAGAACCAAAGAAACTCCCTGTTGTTCACTCCTCCCAGCCTAGTGAGTTGGTTGTCACTTATTTTTTCTGTGGAGAAGAAATTCCCTACAGGAGGCTGTTAAAGGCCCCGAGCCTGACACTTGGCCACTTTAAAGAGCAGCTGAGCAAAAAGGGAAATTATAGGTAAGCATCTTTGTGGTTTCTTTCTTCTTTTTCTTGTGTTTGCACAGACTGACTGCCAAAATAACCACGATGTATTTGTAAGCAGCCTCCCACAAGGAAAGGTTTATTGTTCTCTTTTGAAGGTTGGCTGCAACTCGTTCAGTAGATGAAGTTTTTTCTGACTTCTTTATGTTTACCCACCCAGCAATAGTACTCAGCAGGTGGGTCGGTTGCTCCAGCAACCGAACTGAGATCTCATCTGGTGAGTAGATGTGAGATTGTCGGCTGGCTTGCCTTTTACAAGTTGACGAGTCCACAGACTTGCATAATGGGTATCTCTTCAAAGTTCTTATTTCCTTTCTGGGATAGTACACTGCTGCTTTAGAAGTTTTTTTTTCTTTCTTTCATCAGTTTGGTTACACTTTACCTGATTTTTCTGATTTTGCAATTGGGGCCCTGAAAGAAAAAAAAATAAAAGGAACAGAACAGTAATCAACTATGGAGATACTAATGCAAGTAAAACTGTTGGGACCCGATGGCTATACGTGGGGATATATTCCTATACCCTGTAGGTAGGGGAAGGGTCTCTAAAATGTGGGTTTTTTCCCCTTTGGTGTTTACTTAGTTTTGCACAAAACAATTAAGTGTTACCAAAGTGCCAGTTGGTCATGGAAAATGTTGTAACCTAATTTGTGAACGTCAATGGCTAACTGATGTTGTATACTGTACTTAGTGAAGTATTTGTTGAAATGTCAACTGTTAGGAAAGAGTTGGGGCTTCTTTTGAAGATAGATATTCCAATATGTTCTGCAAAATTAGAGTCTTATCTAGTGAAGTCCTGAGGGCAGATTGACACAGCAGATAACATCACCAGGACCTTTTGATCTGTCTACCTTCTTACCCATCTATCAGTCTAGTTCCTTATTTTAGATTGCCCTTTAAAGTCCTCCTAAGGCTTATGACCTATCTTAGGACTTCCTATGTAATTATTTAGAGAATCAGCTTGCTCCATCTTCCTGTTACTGAGGCATAATATTAAGCAGGAGTTATTATCTCTTGTGATGGTAGAGAACATCTTGAGGAATGCCTTATTGCTTCATTGGAACCGGTGGGGCTTCATTTCACAATATGACCATCTAACCCATTAATTAACAATATGGTGGCTGCAGCTACTATCTTTCATTACCACCCTGAAAGAACAATCTACAATCTTCCAACTTTTTGCGTCGTTCCTGTCAAAGCTTCTACGTTTTATGAAAAAGAACCAGTTAGAAGCATTGGAATAAAAGTTTGAACTTATTTAGTCTATGATTGATTGAGGTCATAAACTACCCCGAGATTACTGCTAGACTCATGCTGACATTGGAAACAAAGCTTCTAAATAGTCACAGGAATCTTTGGAAGATCTACTCCTTAAACATTTTTTTTAAAAAAATTTCTAAATAAGAAAATTTATTTATTTTCTAAAGGCAGGGCCTGGATAGGCATCAAAGTCCTCTAACTGAAGGAGACTTCACTCCCTCTGTCCTTGTAGGAGAGATGATGGGGATTTGAGAAAGAACCTCTGTATTTTTGGAACTTGCTCTCCAAAGAGACTTGGCTGTCCTTGCCTGTTTTGGCACCAGCTTTTCATTTGCCTACATTTTTGGACAGCTTTTCTGTGATGGGTTGGCTGACATTTACAGAGGTTTCCTCTGTAGCTGGTTGTTATTTGATGACTCTGTGTCTTTTTAAGGATGCACCTTAAGGTACTTTTGACTAGTTGCCTAGGCCTGACCAAAAACTAGAATATAAATGTTTGAAATACCTAAGGGCCATCTTTACAGATCAAAGGTATCTTCATTTGTTACCAGAATTGTACGATGGCTGATAGGAATTTCTCCTTATGGTTTGTACTTTGTAGGAAGCAACACCAATCTGGAAACTCCGCCAGGGAGTTTCCCCTTCCTTTCCTGATCCTAGCCTCAAATGAAGGGTTCCCTGATTTAATTAACTAGAACCAAACTGTGTGGATGGTATGGAGTGAATGGAGGTTAAAGGCATGGAAAAGGACTTGTGTGGTTAAAACTCTTATTGTCTAACCTCCCATTGGAATAATATGGAGTCTCAGAATCTTATTTTAGATTGGTGATGACAGCTTACTCCAGAGCCTTAGATGGAATTTCTAGAGATATAAAGTACTTTAATCCCTGTTGAGATTAAATATATATAGATTATATATATATATATATTTCTGAATTTTGCATTCACAATGAAGAGCCCTGCCTCATAAGCTAAAGATGTAGCTTAATCCATGTTCGGTCTGTTGGCAATGGAGGCACTGCTTGGCTTATGAGCACAATTGAACTCAAAATTTCCATTGCTAAACAAGACAGTTGCTAAGTGAGTTTTGCGCCATTTTACAACCTTTCTTGCCACAGTTGCTAAGTGAATCCCTGCAGTTGTGAAGTTAGTAACATGGTGATTAAGTGAATCTGGCTTCCCCATTTGACTTTGCTTGCCACAAGGCCGCAAAAGGTGATCACATGACCCCGGGACACCGTCATAAATAGAAGCCAGTTACCAAGCATCTGAATTTTGATCATGTGACCATGGGGATGCTGCAATGGTCATAAGTGTGAAAAAAGGTAATAAGTCACATTTTTCAGTGCTGTTGTAACTTCAAACAGTCACTCATTGAAAAGTTGTAAGTGGAGAACTACCTGTAATAAGGGTGATGGGCTAGTCTGGTGGATAGAGATTTGCTTATCTTTGTGATAAGCCCCACTTTAGTGTAGATATGAAGATTGAAAATCCTTCCAGGATGGGAATCTGGGGCCCTCTAGATGTTATAATTAGACCAACTCCCAACTTCCTTAAAATTGACCAATTCTGGCTGAATCTGGGGTGAGTCCCATTTAAACCCTATATGGATGGCCACGGTTCAAAACCCTACTGCATACATATTCTAGGTATTTGTGTGGTTTATGTTAAGTATAGCATCAATAAAAGCTCAGAGGTAAGCTATTTCATAAATTATACATGGAAAATGTTTATTTAGTAGCCCCCAACTTCTAACCTAGCTTTCATTAGAAAACACCATTGTTACAGCTTTACAGGAGCTAAACTGTAAGGACTGTAGACTTGAATCGTTTTTGTTTTTTGTCCCAGCTGGCACATTACGAGTAATGGAATTCCCACATGTTCATTATATCTGTGTGAATGATGCAAAGATGGAAGCGATAAATGTTCAGTAGCCATAGGGCTAAAAATCTTGGCCTACTCTGGATGGGATTTTTTTTTCTAACTATCTTTTCTCTACAGAGGCAGGCCCTGATTTGCTCTCAGCAGGCTCTGAAGTTACAGTCCTAACCATGGTGCTGCGTTGTGGCAGACTGGGAAGTCCCTGTTTTTAGATAACTTCAGAAAAAAGAAAAAAAAAGGATGTCATGAAAAGTGCTCCATCTAAACCAGGGGTCTTCAAACTTGGTCCTTTTATGACTTGTGGACTTCAACTCCCAGAATTCCTCAGCCAGTGTGCTTGGCTGAGGAATTCTGGGAGTTGAAGTCCACAAGTCATAAAAGGGCCAAGTTTGAAGACCCCTGATCTAAACTCAACAGCTCCCTGAGCATTGCAATTTGAACCTTGGCATTCTGTAATGATTACAGGTAGTCCTCAACTTTCAACCATTCGTTTAGTGATCAAAGTTGCAACGGCACTGAAAAAAGGGACTTATGACTGTTTTTTACCCATATGACTGTTGCAGCATCCCCGTGGCCATGTGATCAAAATTAGGGCACTTGGGAACGGGCATGTATTTATGACGGTTGCAGTGTCCCCGGGGTCACGTAATCAGCTTTTGCGACCTTCTGACTAACAAAGTCAAGGAGGAAGCCAGATTCACTTCACAACCGTGTTGCTAACTTAACAACTGCAGTGATTCATTTACGAATTGTGGCAAGAAAGGTCATAAAATGGAGGCAAAACTCACTTGTCTTGCTTAATAACGGAAATTTTGTGCTCAATTATGGTCCTAAGTTGAGGACTATATTAACAGGACTGTAATGAAGGGTTTTTTAAAAAAAATATTTTTTTTTTGTTATATCTGTGTACAAAAGAAACATAGGCCCAAATCTGATGTGTGTATGTGTGTTTTTATCTTGTACAGACACAAGGTGAAACTAATTATCTAAATGTGTTGTACCCCCAGGGAATCATTTTGATCTAAGCTTTGATTTCCCCCCCCTCCTCCTTCTGGCTGGACTTGGAGTGAAACTGCAGGTGACCTTCAGGGAAAAGGGCCATACTGCCTGGAATAGCAGTGATTGCTTAGGGAAGGACTAGCTAGTCAGTCTGGTCACATCTGGCATTGATTTTGTTCTAAGGCCCTCTTAATAAGCATGTCTTTGAAGCCTGTGCCTTTCATTTTAAGACACAAAGACATGCATCAATGGCTGACACTCCACATTCTTGATTGAATGAGTCAGTTTGCAACCTAGGTGCCTCGGGTTTTTTTTTTTTTGTTGTTGTTGTTGTTGTTGTTGGGTGCTTTCAGTCAGCAGAGTGCTCTGCAGGGTGGATTTAGGGCAGCCATGTGGCTTAAAGAGAAAAAGTAGACTTCAGGTTTGTCCCTTTCTTTGACACATTCGCACACAGCCACAGCCACAGACACAGACACACACATGCATACAGTCTGAGCAGGGTAGGGTATCACAAAGAGAGGAAGGCAAGCCTTGCAGCCCTGTACGGTTGCCAGATACAGGAGAAAGGAGGGATGGGTGAGGGATAGGTAGGAGGTAGGGCAGGGGAAAAGAAGCAGAAGTTGCTAAAAAAAAAAAAAAGTGGCCTTTCAATGGGAGGTTCACTTCAGGGAGCAAACCGGGACCTTCTGAAATGAGAGATTGCGAGGAAAAGATATTCCAGGGAAAGATATATTCTTGTTTGTGGTCCCCTCCCTCCCTTGTGCTCTCCTTCCTTGCCCTTCTCTGTGAGAAATTAACTTGCAGTTATGGAAAACATCACACTGTGTCTTGTTCCCCCTTCTGCCCCCAAGAAAATAAAATGTGGTGTTCAAACAAAGAATTTTGTCAACGCTGCCAGGGCCTGAGATCAAGGGGGAAGTTATTGCTACAGCTGTTTATCCTCTTGGAAGGGAGGAGATAAAACTGAGCAAAAGTCCTTTTTTGTGCCTCATTCAAAGGCTTTCCTCCCGCCCTCCCCTCCCCCACCCGCTGGCTTGCGGGGGTTTCTAGAAGGAAGTCTCATTGTACTTTAGTTTGGGGGTCAGGAAAGGGGGCTCTGCAGAGGGACAGTCCTGGCTTAACTGAAATGAATGGATTTGGTTACATTCCTGGGATCATCTGGAAGTAGCGAAAGGGGAGGGGGGAAAAAAAGGACTAAACAGCTTCCTCATTGAGTCAAAGAGATCTTACTACAGATAGTCCTCGGCTTACCACCATCTGTTTCTGTGACTGTTCAAAGTTACAACAGCGATGGGGGGAAAAAAAGTGATTTATGACCGTTTTTCACACTTTTGAGCAAGGCAGCACCCCCCCTGGTCATGTGATCAAAATTTGGGCACTTGGCAACTGGCTTGTATTTATGAAGTTTGCCGTGTCCCCACGGTCCCTTTCATGACCGTCTGACAAGCAAAGTCCAGGAGGAAGCCAGATTCACTTAACAACGGTGTTATTTCAGGGATTCGGTTAACGACTCTGGCAAGAAAAGTCGCAAAATGGGGGCATAACTCACTTTACAACTGCCTTGCTTAGCAACAGAAATGTTGTGCCCCGTTGTGGCCGTAAAATATCTTTGCAATCCAAACCTGATCAAGAAACCTCTGGATGGTGCAGCCAATGGCCTTCCCTCCCAGTCCGAAGTTCCGTGAATTCCATTCCAAAAGAAGGGAACTTCTTGACAAAGGAGGCATTCAAAATGTCCTCCCCATCCTCTAGGATGGGACATTAAAAAAAAAAATAATCATCTCATAAAACTTCCCAACCCATAGTAAGGTTGATCGGTCAATCGATCGATCCATCTGTCCATTCTTGGGAGATCTGTTTTGGGTCCGCCTGTGTTTGCTGTCTCCCTTTGGGGTCCATACCTGATGAGAAAGCTTCCTTGCTGACAATGGGAGGATGGCAGCTCAGAGCAGACGACAGCCCAGCCTGGGAGCACCGAGAGCCATGTGTCTGTGTCTGTGGTAGTAGACAAGCAGGCTCCCGAAATGCTAACTCTCTGAATGGAAGGCCTTCATTTGGTGCATATGCAATTAAGCAGCCTGAGAAGGCAGAAAGTTGGACGGGAGGATAAAAGGAACCTTTAATCAAGAAGCTGAACGGTCTAATTCAGGATAATAGAGGGGTCCTTACTGTTTGACACAAGAGGGGAAGGGGTTCTTTTTTTTTGTCTGGGTGAGCCCTGGCTTCATGATCTATGCTCCCAAGCCAAAGAAAGGGAGAGCGGGACACTGCTGCGTGACCTTTCGGTGTCAAATATTGCCCGCCAAGCCAAGATTGCTCATTATGTAAGAGCTGCTAAGAAATATCTGAGCATGAATGCGGTAACTGCTCCGTGGCTTTGAAAGTGGTGGTTCTGCATTGGTCTCTTGTTTCAGAAAGAGGCAGAGGCTTGAACTATTTCCCAATAGCAACAAAAAGGGAAATGAAAAGTATTTGCACTATAATGAAAGATTCTAAACGGCAGGAGTGATGCTCTAAGGAACAGATTAATAATTGGTTTTGTTTTAGATTTTTGTTTCCTTAAATCAAACGCTTGGCGAAGAAAAACTCTGCTCCTCTTGCCAATACCTATGAATGACTTCAAAGGATGTCCCCCCTTTCTTTTTTGATTTACTGATCCATTCAGAATGCTGCTCTCTCTCTCTCTCTCTCTCTCTCTCTCTCTCTCTCTCTCTCTCTCTCTCTCTCTCTCTCCCTCTCCCTCTCTCCCTCTCCCTCTCTCCGTCCCTCCCTCCTTTTTCTTAGCTGCTGTTCAATTGGCTGACCTTGCACTTGTCTATCCAGGAGCTGGTTTGTTGCTGTAGGGAATTATTCTTGTGAGGGCTGCCTATTAAACAGAGATGGACAAATGAAATTAGTGGTACTTGATTCACAGATGATAAATGGCAAGTCTGCAATTTATATCAATCAGAAAATTGAAGCATTTCCTGATGAAAGGGTTGATTGATTCTTTGAGAATCAAGGTCCTGTTGCAGTCACCTTGGAGTACTCTTGTACGTTAACTCTCCCCATAAGCAGGGAAAGGGATAATTCGGTTATTGCTGCACTATAACTCCTAGCAACCCTTTCTCATGATTGCATGGGCTGCTAGCATTTGTTGTTTCAGCAACATCTGGGAAGGTTCCAGTTTCTTCATACTGCAGGGCTTCATAATATGTGCCCTTCTGTTTATATTTCAATATAGATATATCCTAAATTAGCCATCTCCAACCTCCTGATGTATGAAGTTAAAATACCAGATTGGATATGGTTGAAAAAGCTGTATTGAATCATTGGTTCTAGACTTTGAACCAGAGAAGAGACAATAGACACAATGGTTTTGTTTTCATAGATCAGGGTATTTTAAAACCTGCAAAATAATAACTCTGCTTCAAGCTTTGCCAGCAGCTTCTGGGAGGGCTTAAGTCACTAGGTTGTGTCCTCACCGACAATTATGTGATCCAGCACTCTGCCATCATCCTTGTCAATGTCTCCAACACACGGGGGTGACCAACCATGCTCTGGTTCACAAGCTTTATTCTGATTTGCATATTAAACCACACTTCAAAGATAATTTTACTAGGCGCAGGACAAAGTACACCATAAATCAAGTACCACAATTATTTTAGTGGATGAATTTGGGGTAATATGAACAGCTATTTATTGGGTAGTTATCCACCACTGGTTCCAGAAGCTTTCAGCAGCATTAACGGTCCATGGACATTTGCAACGTAGTGAAGAAAATCTATATGGCTTTGCATTATTGTTAGCACAAGACTCACTGAACGAATACCTGAGAAAGACCTCCTGATCACTATAATGCAGGGGTGGGCAATTAATTTTCCAAATGGGCCACATGAGAAACTGGGATTCCGGGGGGGGGGGGGGCAAACCAATAGGGCTGTGAAGGTGTGTAGGCACAAAAACACGCACCTAGTAATTTTTTTAAAAAAAAAATTCACCTTCAAAATAAAAAGCAATGTGGTTGTAGTGCATGCATGGTGTAACTTACTTGCCTTATTTGATTTCCTATTGACCTCACGCAGGCTGGACAGGGACAGTCAAAGAGCCGGATGTGGCCCAAGGGCTATAAAATGCCCAGGCCTGCTATAATGTACTGTATGCTTTTAAACATTTGCCTTAGCAGTAAACTCTATGCATAGTTAAAGTGGTAACTAAGACATTAACCATCAGCAATAATATTTATTTTAAATTTTGGGGTATGCTGACTCACAAGCAATTACTAAGATACGGTATCATCACCTCTCTTGGTTCAAAAATCCTTTGAATGAAGAAGACAAAAAGTAACAATTGATGATGGGTAACAGCTATTTATTTGGTTATTCATTTATTTGATTCAGTTTGGACACTGCATGGCTCAGCTGACTCAAAACATATTACCATAAAAATCCAATACAAACCAGAACAAGCTGAGATCCAGTCACCATACAAATGGACTATATTCGAATGCCATTAAATACCACCTGCTTGGAGGAATTTGTTTAATTGTTTTGATTTATCTGCCTGGTCTAACCACAAATATGCAGGACAGCAAACTAAATCATGGTTTTGTTTTTGTTTGTTGGTTTGCTCTATCTGTCAATATATGGATTTGGAGGTTGGGAAGGAAACTGAAGGCCTTTTGGAACCCAGATATGGGATGTTGGGTGTTTTCACTGCAATGAAAAACTATATTGATTCCAAGGTACACTCCACTTATTTTTGCATATGTTGGTCTTACTTATTTCAGGTATTACTTCAAAAAAGCAAGTGATGAGTTTGACTGTGGGGCAGTCTTCGAAGAAATCTGGGACGATGATGCCATTCTGCCAATGTATGACGGCAGAATTCTCGGAAAAGTTGAGAGGATTGATTGACTGGTTCTGATTGACTGGTTCTGACTGGCATAGTCTATGTGAGTGTATTTAAGAAGATATAAGCTACGGATACTGGCCTTTGGACATAAAACCACCAAGCAAAGTTTTGAAGGAAGGTTTGAACCCATGAAGAAGCAACAAAAAACACAATGAGGTCTATGAAAACTTTGCCAAATCAGCCTTAGCAAAAAAGGAAGAAAAAAAAGATGTGTCTATTGAGCTGGATGCCAAGATGTTAACAACTCTGAACTATTTATTAAAAATATGGTTGCTCTAGGTGATTTGAAGATGCAGATGATGTTCTGAGAGACTTGCATATAGAGTATATGGCTTTCTAATGATCCTGTACTTAATAATTTAGAAACTGTGTATAGCTTACCTTATAATAATCTTTATTGATATTTATTGAACAGGTTTTTCCCATTAAATCCATTTGATGGATATGCTGCTTTAAAAGATGGAGAAAGGGGGATGTGATGTAAAGAAAAAGGGGTGTTTATATTTTATTTTTTACATTGTTTCCACTGTCTAAATAAATGTGTCCTTTACAGAAATGTGCATTTGTTTCTGCCACTGTAGAAAAACAGCTGGAATTGTACGATCCTTCAGTTGTTTTATTTCTTTGGAAAGGGGATGAGAAAGGAAAAGATAAATCCATTCTACAGAGAAAGCCGTTGTGATCAATGATGCTCTAGTTTTTGTGCAGGGAAAACATTCCCAATTGCCTAAAACAAAGTCTAGGACAGTGGTTCTCAATATGTGGTCCACGGACCCTCGAAGGGCGCAATGTCGTCACAGGGAGGTCTGTGAAGGCTTGAAGAAATGTTATGATTTAAAACTTGAGTTAAGTTTTGGTGGTCCGTGGCCACATAAGGGGTCCGTGGTGAAGAAAAGATTGAGAACCACTGCTCTAGGCGATCAGGAGCACCTCATAAATCTTCACGCTCTTTCCCTCACGCTCTTTTCCCCATTCCTATTTTTGGATTTAATTGTGCTGCAGAAGAGTAACCATTCCATCCTCTCAGACAACCAAAATTTCCAGAATTCCAGAAGCCAACATAGCAAAAGAGCTGGTGGTTTGGAAACTCTAGAAATTGGAATCCCCAATCAGGCGGTCACTTGATTGGACAGTAGAATTATGCCTGTACACGTGATGGCAGTAACTGTGGTTAATTCAAATACAGTTTGAAGCTCATCATGGTTCTAATGGGATTTCAGAAGCACTATAGGATAGGTCAGGGGTAGGCAACCTTGGCTCTTTTATGACTCGTGGACTTCAACTCCCAGAATTCCTGAGCCAGCCAGGCTGGCTCAGGAATTCCGGGAGTTGAGGTCCACGAGTCATAAAAGAGCCAAGGTTGCCTACCCCTGGGATAGGTACTACTGCTTTTGGGATGAGTCCCAAAAAAGGAAAATGGGAAAACCTGATTCTGAAGGGTGGCATTAAAAAAAATTAAAATAAATGTGTGCAGGAGAGGGGATAGACTGCATGTGTCCACAGTAAATCTGACTGCCTAATTATAAACTGTAGGCTGGAGAAATTGTATACACTCCAGTGCTGAGTGGAAGGAGAAGACAATATATGAAATCATCCATCTTGCACCTCTATAGCTAATAGTAAGATAGTCACCAAATTTGGACTGTGCTTTTTATAAAAACAGTAAAAGTTATTCTTTCAGGGCACTTTCAGCATTACAGCTATAATTAAAAGGCCAGACTATGCAATGGGGATGCCCCAACTTAACTGTAACTACCACTCAAGGGCATGACACTATGAATTGGTGTTTTGCAGCAACTCTGAACAGCTTGAAGTTCCTGCAGGGTTAAAATATAATTTTGGATGCACCATCATTATGATGTCAGTAGTTGTTCCCCAGAAATATTACAAAATCAATACATCTGTGGCTGGTAACCTTCCAGCTTTTTTACCCTTGGATATCTCAGCCTCTTTCAGTTGCTTTCTGGACCACGAATGGTGGATGAGCTAGCTGGCTTCTGAGACTAGGTCTGGAAGAGCTTTTTCATCTAAAGCTGTCACAATATGTCTGTGTTGTGTAAGTGTGTCTTGGATGTTGGCTGAAATATGCAGAACAATTCTCCTCTGTCTTGATTGTATGCACTGGAACAAAGAAACACCGTCTCCTAACTTAGAAATACATTTAACTTCAACTCTGTGTGTGTGTATGTGTGTGTTTAATATGTGCATTTTCTGACAAATGTTACATTTTGTTTGTACAATATGTATATAGTGTAAAAAAACGGGGTGGGGAAAATACTGTTAATAGATACTCTCTAGTCTGTGTGTGTTTTTTTAAGGAAAAGAACACACTTCAATCAGTACAGTAACTGTGCCTGCATGGTATTAATATGCCATGTTTTGCCCTGTGTTCAGGGTTCATGCTCTCCCTTCTTTGTTTAAGGGGTTTATGTATAATATATTTTATGCCTTTTTACTACAACTCTTGTACTTTATGACTTTTGCCATGATGTTTGTTCTACTTAAACTGTAAATTATGCATTATAAAGAGTTTCATTTAAAGAAAAAAATACTTGGTACAATAATTATTGTAATTAAGAGATGTAGCCTTTATTAAATTTTTTTATATTTTTCAAATTAACAAAACCTATTTGTTTTTGTTTCTAATCAGTGTGTGTGGGAAGTGAGGTAGCGTTAGACTCATTCCAGATTCTAAAGAGATTTTTCTAGAAAAATAAAAAAATGAAAAATGTCAACAAAAATGAAATTATGTGAAGGTATAAACTGCAAATGAATTTATTAACTTTATGGATAGCTAGAAGCAGTTATCTAGGTGAAAATAAATGTACAACTGCTTTAATGTGACTGAAATAATGGAGAAACAGATCATTTTGCCGGCTCATGCATTTAATCTTGAAACCAAGATGTTTAAAAATAGAGATTGATTTAAATATCTGAAAGTAAGTCTTTAAGATATTTAAATCAACCTCTATTCTTAAACATCTTGAATAGTTAGGAATTGAACTATTCCCAGGAAACATTAGGTAAAGCTTCATGTAACCTACTGTATATATTCTAGATCTGAAGAGGAAGATTAGATATTGATAGGTTTTGCTATTTCCTCAGCCCAAAATGATGATACTATTTTACCAATTAATTAGCTAACTCTGCACAAATTGGCTCTGATTCTGGAAGCAGGACTTTGGATAAATGTTAGGGTTAGCCTGTAAATGGTTATAGGCAGATCTGATAGTCATTTAGAAAAACATTGGTAAGCATATATTGATCATAATAGAATGTTTGGCACAACAAAGCAGGCTACTCTGCCTTGTGTCCCCATTCTGCCTTTAAAACAAGCCAACTGTCGCCAAAGCAAATTACCAAATATTCATCGGCCATTTTGTCCCTCCCTCCCAGGTCTATAATCTTGGTGGGGAACTGATGTGGCTTATGGGTCTATATATCATTTCCCCATCCCATCTGTGAAACACTGCAGGGCTGCTCTCTGACTTGATAAATGGAACATGCTTTGTTCCTAAGTTTCTAAAAATCTTGTTTTGTTCCTAACCTGAGAATGACGGACTGCTGCTAAAGGTGCTTTACTGTCTTCTCTCCCCCCCCAGCACACAATGCTGGGGAGAGGGTGTCATGGGGTGCCTACACCAATCACGTACTTGAAAAGTTGGACCTGAAGCGGGACTGTGAGGCTAGCCTCCCAGCAATTGTTAGCCCTTTCAACCTAAACCCTGCATTCAGTTCCCTCGCTGTTAATTTTATGGCTTGTCTGAGTCCACAAGCTGGCGTTCCAACATGGCTTTGGCCATGTACTTGCCATCTGTCATTTAAGGCCGCTATCCCTAGGTGGTCAGCCTTGACAGTGCCAATCTAGACCATTTGTTTGACTCAGATGTGTGTCTTGCTTTGTGTGAACCCCAAGGCGGCCTTGGGCGCTTCCTCCCTCATCCATCTCCTTGTTGCATTTATTATTTTCCACACGAGATGCGACTTCAGTCCTAACTTGAGAAAAAAACCCATCACATTGAGCACCTAAGATGGAGGCCCATGTTGTAACTTAAAATAAAGCTGCAAATGATTCCCTACATTTGAATAGATTGCTGTCTTTATTAAACACTGTCTCAACTTAGTGGGGTCACCCTAATTGATGAGCTGGACATAACAGATGGATACACAGACTTAAACCACATGGGTGAAGAAAGTGATTCCCCCCCTCTATTCCACCATCAAAGGTTAGGAACTTAGTCCTGCACAGTAGTATTTTTTCTTCTTCTTCTGCTATTAAAATGAAATCACACTGAGTTTAATTCTTCTTGGGAAGATGAATGTATCGGAGTTAGTTTGAAGTCATTCACTGGCATATAAGCTTTTGCATCTTTATATATCAGTGCTCCCAAATACTTGCCTTCCCCCTTTTTGTCTTTCCCTTTCCTTTCCTTTCCTTTCTTTCTTCCCCCCAGGGGTCTGTAGAAACAAAAAATAAAATGTCTTCAAATACATAGCAGGCTGTTTAGTGGAGATAAAAGGGTGTTTGAATAGTCCTTTAAAAATGAATAGGAAGTGAACACTCTTATGTTGGGAGTATAAGTAGGATGTGATGAGCATTCAGCATCACCTTAATCTGCCAGTTTCTGGGTATATTGCATTTAAGAACTCTGCTATTTAAGAAGCTTGGGACCTCATCCTGCACTCTGAAGGTAGTAATACAATGCGACTGAACTAAATAGTCTCATGCACTTTTCAACTATTGACATGTGGAATGGATGGGGAGTTTCCAGGCTAGTTTGTGGAGCTCTTGACTCAACCCAGAATATTCTTTTCCAAGGTTTTTAAAATGCTAAAGGATAAAACTTTGTTTTTAAAAATGATGGCCCTCATGCTCCAGTGGAAAAAAATAGGAAGCAAAATATTAATCAAAAGAACATGGCGGGTATTGAGGGAGATCTGAGTATTAGGTATTAAGGGAGTTTAACGAAGAGAAGGACTAGGAGTGACATGATAGCAGCGTTCCAATATCTAAGGGGTTGTCACAAAGAAGAGGGGGTCAACCTATTCTCTAAACCACCTGAAAGCAGGACAAGAAGCAATAAATGGAAACTTATCAAGGAAAGACGCAACCTAGAACTAAGGAGAAATTTCCTGACAGAACAATTAATCAGTGGAACAGCTTGCCTCCAGAAGTTGTGGGTGCTCCATCACTGGAGGTTTTTAAGAAGAGATTGGACATACATTTGTCTGAAATGATACAGTCTCTGGCTTGAGCAAAGGGTTGGGCTAGAAGACCTCCATGGTCTCTTCAAACTCTTATTCTGCTATCAGTGAGTATGGATGTATTCAAGATGTATTCTTCATTTTGTAGTAGCCTCACTGGTGGCATAGAAAAAATGTGGCTGTGATTATTGCTCACAATGCACAGGATAAGTTGAGGGTGAGGCTGGGGATGTTACAGGGCATTTACCAGGACACAAAGACTTTAGGGAACTCTAA